AGCCTGTGGCTGTGATTACCATAATGGATAACTCACCCATGCATTAGGAATTCCCTGGCCCCGGGTTGCTCAGGAATAAGAGTCTCCTCTTGGGAGACTGTGTCAGAGAAGAGGCTTCAGCAGCTTTCCAGCTGCTCCCACCCAAACCTAGGAATCACTTTTCATTTCTTCCTGCTCCTCCATGTCCCACCCATGGCACCTCCTGTGGTACCCAGCAATTCTTTTCACAACACATCCCACATCAGTCTACTTCTGTCTGTGCCCACTTCCACCCTCATCCTAGCCAAGGTCACCTCACTGCTGGATTCTGTCCTCCCCTCCTAACTACTCTTGGTTTTCACTCTTGGTCCCTACCCTCTCCCAATTTGTTACCCACAGAAGTAGCAGCAGTGTTGAAAGCACAGAAACCAGCAAGGCACTGTGAATGAGCTCATGTCTGTCTCCTGTGTGACCCTGTAGTACCCTTAGGGTAGAATCTGACTTCTCCAGGCCACGAGCCCTACACACCAGTCTCCTGGCCCACTGAGGCCTGGCCACACTGACCTGCGGGTGCCTTGACTACAGCAAACACATTCCCACTGTGGGCCCCTGCACAGCTGGCCTCTTTGCCTGGACTACTCATCCCCTTGTCTTTAGCATACTGCTTCTTCTTGTCATTCAGGCCTTGAGGTAAAGGGCCTCATCTCACAGAGGCCTCCTCTAAGCATGCATGCCAAAGCCAATACCCAGTCCTTCTCCATCACACCCTCCTGCTTTAGTCTGCATCACTTTACTCCTATCTCACAGGTTCTGGTTCATTGCCTCACCATTCTCTCACCATCTACCGATCGCTTCCTGTGCCAGCCAGATGAGGCATGTGTCATTCTCCCTGAACAATGCCTATGTCCCCTGATAACACGGAAGCCCATGAGGATGGGCCTCAGCCTACAGCTTCCGGGCCTGGCATGGAAGAGGCAACTGATAATATATATCATTTGCACAGTGAGTAAATACCCACAAGGTGATGTATACTAGGAAATTAGAATTGGCCAATATAACTTCTTGCTTTGCTTTCATGCCTTTAAGGCAGCCAGTATTCCAAAGTGGCCCCAGTGCTGAGATAAACCATTCCCTGGCTGTGTTTTGCTGGGCCAGGCATGATTCCCTTTCTGTTTGGGCATCCAGCTAGGATTTATTAAGGTCCTACTATGCACAGGCCTGTGCTCTATCTCTGTCCTGTCCACCCAACCCATGAATAGGCCAACTGTCCACACTGTCCTAGCCAATGACCAACTAACCCTCACTAGAGCTCATACATAGTGCAGCTAAGTGGCTGGTCTCCTCCCACACTTGTACCCCTCTTCCTTCCAGGTTTCCCAAATATCCAGGGATTCAGTGTAGCTCCTTGGTAGTACCCAGGCAGCCTGCCAGGCTCTGTGCCAGCCTTAGCATGCCAGCCTCAGCTTTCCAGCCCCACTTCCCAAACAAGTATGTGCCTATTTGTCCTCACTTATGTCCAGCCTGTTCTGTCACAGGTGGCTTCCATTACAAGCCATTCACACAATGGCCCAGCAGGCTGTGGGGTCCAACAGGGTTGTTGTGCTGGCAGTTACCAGCTCTGGAATCTTGAACCAAGAGGTCACTCTGTCTCCTGGAACTTCAGTCTCCTCCTTTGCAAACAAGAACTATAAAAGCACTGGCCTTTGGGGTTGTTGTGGCTGGTCTCTTGAGGGCCGCCTGCTCCTCCTTGTTCTGTGAGTCCATGAATTCTCACCAGTCTCAGCTCAAGGGACAAGGCAGGGGAGAGAAAACAGCTCTTTGGTGGCAATGATTCTACAGCTAATCTCATTACTAGAAATTAGAAGGTTGCAATTCAAAACAAAATTGTACAGTTCAAGCAATAAATCTATGCTGAGTGGGAATAAAGGATACAAAGAAAAATTAGACACATGAAGGAACATAGTCAAAAGGGGAGGCAAGCTGTAAAAGCCCACAAAGTGGATGTGGCTCCACCTGCCAGTGCTCCCAAGCACAGACAGTCCCTTCCCATGAGGGGAGACGAATTTGATCCCCTCATTTCCCAAATGCTTGGTGTGAGGTGCTGTTCTTGGATTAACAAGACAGGTGGATGATGGGGGAATGTGAACTAAAACGAGACTGAGTGGAGTTCACCCAGAGCCAACCCCTCACACGCACAAATGACCTGGCACTCCCCTTGCTCCCCAACACAGGTTTGGCACTTGTCCTTCTTATGTCCTAGAATGCTGCATCTTCTCATTTTCTGCCCTAGTGAGAAGCCTTTGTGACCCAGGAAGCAGCCCAGTACTCATCCCTTATGAGACAATACAGAGATTTCTCAGAAAAAACCCTGGGGCCAGGCGTGGTGGCAGATGCCTGCACTCCCAGTCCTGGGGAGGCTGAGGCAAGAGGATCACCATGAGTTCAAGGCAAACCTGGGCTATATAGTGAGTTCAAAGATCCTGTCTCAAAAAAACAAAACAAAACACTAGGATGTATTGTTGCCCTGAGTCCCCTGATCCTTGGTGACATGTAATTTCAGCTCCCTGGCATCTCCCTAGTTCCCCCAAGCTAAATGCCTGTGAGGGGACAGAGATGGCAGAGAGCAGGCAGCAACAGAAGCCATGGCTTGGACTAAGAAACAAAGGAGAGAGGCACCCCTCGAGGTATGGCTGCAGTTCTCTGGCTCACTGGCCACATGTCCCCTCCCTGAGGCTCTCCTCTAACTTCGCCCTCTGCTGCACTGTAGCAGACAGGTGCCGCCCAGCAGTAGCCCCGGCCAAGATGGACCTGAAGGCCTGAAAAGGCACCAAGAGTCCACTGTTAGCATCTTCAAAGTTCCTAATGCAGTATTTTTGATACATGAGAGAAAATTTTTTATTAAAAATAAAAAGTCCCTGCTTTTGTTCCAAGTGACAGGTGGCGTGGCTAGAATTGTCCTTCTTGCTCAGATCAGTATGGTGTGGGGGGTAAGGGCAGGGACTCTGCACATCCCAGCTCTGCCCCTTAGCTGTCGGGCCCTGCAGAAATCACTCTACCTCCCTGGGCCGGTTTCCTCATTGTGAATGAAAATAACAAGAGGATCTGCCGCTGTGGGGAGCTGTAGGGGCTGCATGAGCTAATACACATGAAGTATTCAGGGCAGAATGCCATGTGTTTTTATTCTGGCAAATCCAAGAGGGAGAATGACTGGCCCACATGGCCTGGAGGGAGCTGGAGAAGGGCCTATGCCTTCCAATAGGTCCTGGGTGGATGTTCCAGTCCAGCTCCCTGAAGCGCTATGGGAGGTTTATTTTCATTGCAGTCAAGCTCCAGCAACAGCAGTGAAGAAGACTCAGCCACCCTGAGCAGTGCTTGTCAAGCCAAACAGAGTCGTGCTGGTATTGTGACCTGCTGCTGTCCCACGGTCCCAGCAATAGACAGTACACTTTGGAAACACCATCCACAGCTTCATCCGTGGGCCCTGCCTGTCCCTCGGCAGTTCATCTCTCTCTACATGAGGCCTTTAGGCAGCCCTTGCTGCTTGTGCTGATTCACTCCTTTCACCCTCATCCACAATGCAGCTTCTGGGGATCCCTAGGAGTTACAGTCTTGCTAACAGTAAGGCCTGTGCACATGAGGAGATTCAAAGCTTAGTCCTCCAGCTCCTCACACAGCTCCCAGCAGTCCAAGAAACAATAGCAGCAACGAAATGATGGAAAATTCATTTGAAAAAGAATCTCAAACTACTTTTGAAAAAAGCCTCACTGATCAGATGAACTTGGAATCACAGGGCTGGCAGCAACTGCAGAGACCAGAGGCTTCCAAACTTGCTTGCAAACTCCAAAGCCACTGTTCAGTTGCAATTAGCCCCGCACCCAATACATAAGGTGGACACAGACAGGGTTCCTCTGGGGAAAACAGCTCCTGGGCTCCCTGTATGGCACAGTTCCTCCTTTCCCTCAGGCCCTGGTGGCTGCTTGGGCTCCACAAAGCACTGACAAAAGACTACGAATCTAAGAGAGCCTCCCCAGTTAGAAGTCCCATTTTGAATGGTGCCTGTACACAAACCTAGTTTCAGGAATCCAAGCTAATGCTTCTTGCTCCACTCTGCTAGGGCTAGATCTACTGAAAGTTGCAACGGAAAGAAACAAGGCTCATTTCTGACCACCTACAACATAATCCTTAAGTATTTTAAAGGACCGTAAACCAGCCAGCAGGAAACAGCCCAGCTCCACTGACTGGCAGAAAGAAGGTCGGAAATGAGTTGTAGAGGCACATCTGACAATTCCATACAATTTCCCTCAGTTCTCTGGGACATAAACAGGTCTTGAAAGGCCTGGGCTGTGTGGCTGTGAGAGACCTGGTGCAGGCAGGCCAGGAGGTGAATGCTAATGAGCTATGGAAATAGCAATTTCTTCCCCCATGTCAGGCACTTTGCCAAGCTAAGGAGAATAAAGAGGTCTGAGATATTTTTAAAGTACTTTTACGGCAGAAAAACTTTCCTCAGACTCAATTATATAACTATCAGACTCCACCTCTGAGCTGAAATTATCCATGGCTTCAGGAAAAAAATAAAGAAAAAAAAAATCATTTTTTCCTACATGAGCATCACAGGTTTCTCCAGAGAAACTCAGAACTATATGGCCAGTGACCCAGGGCAGCTGCAAACCATCAGCCCAGAGATCTTCCCAAGGGCAGTTTGGAAGCTGCCAGAGACCAACACTGGCTAAGCAGAGGGCAAAAGTCACGCACTGACCCGGCCACCACAGATGGTGTTGTGAGGTTCAGGAAGATTCCCTCTAGGGGCTTCCAGCCCCAGCCACATCAGCTCCCTCACTGCTCCCTTGAAGTAAAATGGGGCTGGAGTCACTAATGCCACAAGGATGCCCAGGGTACATTTCATTAACTTGAGGTAACTCCATCTTTAGCAGAGTGCAGACAGTCAGAAAAAGCCTAGGGCTTAAGCAATGCAGATCTTCAGCAATGAAATCAAAAGGACAGACTTCAGGAGATTAACTTACAGCCCAGGTCTTTGTCAGCCTAAAGATGGGAGCACTTTGTAATGCTGACACCACAGACATGAGAGAATGAAGGTTGTTGAGTTCTAGAAGTTTCTGGAAAAAAAAAGAGATATGGAATACATTACTTTGCTGCTATAAACAACAGAACAAAAATATGCTCAAGTGTTACCAAATGTTGTCATATTTATAAAATTCAATTACACTTAAAAATATCTCATGTAGAAAATATAGTTCTAGGCAGTTCATAGGAACCATATGCTCTTTTTCTCTCAAATTGTCAAAAGGTGAATCTGGATCTAAAATTTCATAAACTGACTCGTCTGGTTGCTGGACAGAAACATGGCTGGGGATAAGATTTGATAATCCCTTTATGTCCTTTTTAAAGATGAATCTGAACTTCATCTCAGCAGGCTTCTGTAAGCTAAGACCCTGGTTGTGCCAACAGCATCGGGATGTTCTACTGTGATGATCCTAACACCCCAATGAGAAGGAGGCAGGGACGATGTTATCAGTCTGTGTAATCCCTCTCAGCTGGCAAGGAAAGCTCCAGCTTCCCATTCGACCATGCTCCTTTGAACCAGACCCCAAATTAGCGGGAACATTTGGAGTCAATTCAGTCTCAGACAAGCTCTTTACCAGGGACTGCAACAGAATGAGTCACAGAAGAGAGTAAGGGCAGAAAAATGTAACTGCTCTGTTGTTGGTTTGATGCTCCGGGAAACTTGCTAACAGGACTGGGTCCCATCTCTCCTTTTTGGGAGGCAGTGAAGCCTGGGTTAGCAAGCAGGCTCTATGGAAGCCAAAGACCTGGTCGTCTCAGCACTCACTACTAATGTTTCCTGTAGCAAGTTACCTGGTCCTTTTGAGCCTTTGTGTTTTCACAGTTAAAACAAGGAAGGTAACCACTGTCACCGATGCTTCATGAGACAGTGCCTGTCAACTGCCTATACCAGCGCCTCAGCCAGGATGAGTGCTCATTGGGAGACGGGCCTCAGTCTTCTCTGGCTGGAAAATGGGTCTTCCTCTCCCACATCCCTTGCCTCAGGCACATCCCGGCTTGGATACCACTCCCTCTAACATGTTTTTCCTGACAACGTTCTAAATCCACAAAGGCCCCGGACTCACTTCTGTGTTCCCGCAGTCTGTGTGTGACCTTTGCACTTGGGACTGTCCTGGAGTTTTACTCGCCTCTTTCCCACCCTAGACCTTGTGTCCCCTGAGAGCAGGGACAGAGTTTTATCTACCACCATGTTCCCGGTACCTAGTACAGCCTCCAGCACACATTAGTTAAAATGAATAAACAAATGAAAAGCCAGTAATGCCGGATCCTCATAGCTCTGTTCCTGCTTAGAAGCTTCACCCTGACCACACAAGTTAATGCTTCATTTCATACATCTTGTAACAATCTCTAATTGTTTCCTGTGTGTAAGAATAGATTCTCTGAGTGAACTGAGTTTCATTCTCGTATTGGAGTTGCTGTGCCTGTCACAGAATTTCTTTTTAGAGCAGAAAGGGAGATTACCTAACCCACATCTTCCATTTATATATATTGGTATGTATGTATGAAGGATTGAACGCAGGGCCTTTGCACTGAGCTACATCCCCACCCCTTTTGATTTTCTTCTAGTTTAGACAAGATCTCACTAAGTTTCCCGGGCTGGGCTTGAACTCACAAGGCCCCTGACTCAGCCTCCCAGTGTGCACCACCATGCCAGGTCCCTTCAATTTTATAGATAGGAAAATCAAGGCCAGAGAAAGAAAGGGTTTCCCTGAGATATACCCAGAGTACAGGGCCAGCATGTCATTTTATAGTAGGCAAAGGGCAGGCATGAAGGAAGGATCATTTGGACTCCTTGAGTCAGGGCCATAAACTTATTTCCCAACTCCAAGCCCCAGGAGCACCAGAACCACATCCCACCTTCTCTCCTGGGCCAGCATAGAACTGACTCACACCAATAAATGTCATTAAGCCCAGCACCAGTTCCAAGTATGTCCTGAAAATGTGAGGGACACCATCATAACCACTGCCCCTACTGTGTTTATAAACAGTTGCCCTTAACCTCCTGGGAGGATAGCAGAGCCACTCTGCTGAAGGCAGACATGGCTTTAATTCCTACTCTCTACTGGTAGCTGTGGGCCTGAGCATGGTGCTTCTCTCTAGGCCTCCCCTTTGCCTTCTACCCCAGGGACAAAACTGTGGCACCGAATGCAGTCACATCAGCAAAGCAGCTGTTCCACTGCCAGGTTCTGAAGGGCCTCAGCCCAGGGCTGCTCTCCAAGGATCTGGGTCAGAAAACAACACATGCACATATGAAGCAAGCAGGGAACCAGGCTGAGCAACGCTGCTGCGGAGAGTCCGGCAAACCCTGGTGGTGGGAGCAGGATATGGGGAGGGGCTGCCTGGCATGAGTGATCCAGGAAACCACGGGAGGGCACAGCGTGAGCTGGCAGAGATGAGGGCAGAGGAAAAAGGTGGTCCCAACAAGCAGCAAGGACAGACGCTTATCAGGCCAGGGGTCAGGAGGAAGTAGCAGGGGGTCATGTGCCTTAGCTCAGGATGGGGTGGAGTACATTCTGCTGACAGGGGACGCAAATATGTAGGCTGTGATGAGATCACATGCACCGGTGCAAAAATGGCCACCAAAACTGTGGGTTGGAGGGGCTGTGTTCATGCACACACAGGGCACCAGGCTGTGGGCAGCCAGTGCTGGCTCTGCCTGGAGCGTCAGGACGTGCCCCCCCACGCCCATTTGAATCCTGAACAGCAGACCCAGACCAAAGCACCTCCCAAAGTACTACAAAAACACACTTTTGAGACAAAAAAGAAAAGAAAGGGAGGGAGGAAAGGAAGGAAAAAATAATAAAACAGCTTACCTTGGCTATTTTCACAAAATGGCTCAGGATTTCTGCCCTTATTTTTAAAGTCTGTGCTGTTAGAATTTCTCGTACAACCCAAAAACTGACCTGTAGAGTCAAATACACACATGTACACATACACGCACACACCAGAAACGCTGTTAAATCCTGGGCCACCCACACCACCCACCACTGCTGGGGGATTTCCGAGGGTCTAGGAAGCTGTGAGATCATGGTCTGAGGTCAAGCACGGTATGAGGTCAAGAGGTTGAGAGTTCCCTGTGGCTCCCAACCTAGATGGGTCCCCTGTTCCTAGCAACCCCTTCAGAATACACAGTGGTGCTAGGCAGTAGGATTTTCATGGTCATGTAGGGAGCACTGGGCTTCTGTGACACTTGGGTCCTGAAAGTGCTGCAGGACACTGTGGGATGAATCAGCCTGGACTCCTGCTCAGAAGGACCAAGCAGGGGAGACAGTATGGATGATGGGAGGATGGACAGAAAGATGGATGGACTGTCAAAGGGATGTGCATACTAAAGTAGTACCCATGAGGTTCATATTCCCAGCCAGGCCCCAGACAAGGAGGGATCACCAATATATGCACAACTGCAGTAAATTTAACTTTCTAAACGAGGCTTGTCTTTGTGCAATAATAAATGATACAAAAAGTGTCTTTCAAAGTTCCATACAGCAATGCAGATTTGGGGTATGTTTTTCTGGAAACAGTATGTGCCAAAAGGGAATGTCGGTAGCTCTGGTTCAGGAGCTCATTCATGCTTGACCTCTCACATGCAGCCACAGCCTGAGCCCTTGGGTCTGTTGATGGGAACAAGAAAGTCATCTGTCGGTGCAGGGCTGACTCACGGTACCTCAAGGAAGCACAGAAAGGGCTCAGCTCAGAACTGCTGGGAAACAGCTTTCCGTGCTTATGTCTCACTGATCACAACAGTCCTGTTTCGTGAAGAATGAATGCCCAAGATTGTCGTGACAGTGCTGCAATGAAGAAGGTGTAGGGCTGGCCAAGTATGAGGATATGAGGAATGAAAAGGGAGGACATGTTACAAGGGAAAAAATAAACAAAAACAGTGAAGGACAGCCCAGAGCTAACAAAGCAAGTTTATGCTAAAAATATATTCCTGTAGATTCTTGTAACTGAAATAGTGTCACTTTTCAAAGAGGAAGCAAAGCAAGAGAAACCAATTTGCCTTTAATATTGAGCAAGTATTTTAGAAATGTTTTTTCAGTGTAATTATCTGTGGTTGCCTCCAGGACATGTTTGGGTTTCCATAGAATCATTTTTTCCAAGAAATTGCCAAAATTAAATTCAGACTCAAATGTGTACTAGCCAGTTATGGAAGAAAATCTTTCTGGATACCAAACAGTAAACCCATAAACCTTATCTTATCTTATCTTATATTATATTATAGTGTGTGCACTTTTTATGCTATATAATCTTAAGTGTGACACTTTTTATATATAATTTAATACATTCCTATGTGCCAAAACCTTGTACATTTTTCTGGCATAATTACAGAAGGGGGCAGAGCTGACTGACTTTGGATCTGTAGCCCACACCATGCAGAGGCAACTCAGAGTCCACAATTCAACAGAGTTGCATGAGACACCCCTGGATGCAGGCTCCAGACTTTGCCTGAGACAGAGGTGACCAAGGGAGACAGAGCCCTCCAGAAATCTCTACTGGAAGGCAACTGTGATCGGGGCCATAAGAAGTTCAAAGCAGATGAACTGGAGGCTGGAGGACAGCGAGAGAAGAGGGCAGGCCTGAAAAGATGGGAAGACCTGACACAGTAAGACAGGACTGTACTGTTCTTCACACATATACCTTTGTACACTTTTTACTAAGGTTTAGGATAAATTCCAGCAGATGGAGTGAACAAAAGTGTGCCTACCTTTCTTCAAAAGTATATATGAAGGGCCGGGGATTTAGCTCAGTGGTGCCACCACCAGCCTCACAGCACAAGGTCCTGGATTTGATCCCCAGTACCCCCGCAAAGAAAGTATATATGAAGAAGTTGGCCTCCAGAAGATCTGTTTATTTATCCACCTACAAGTTTAACCAGATCTGTTTTTAGGCATAGGCCAGCACCAGTTATTAAAATTCTTTTCTTATTTATCAGTGAGTAGAATGGTATCTCACTGCTTCTATTTTGCTTTTCTTTCATGACCATCCAGTTAATTTTTTATCTTGTTCTATTTTTCTCAGTTAACATTTCCTGTTCCAAATATTTATAGGCTACTTGTCACTTGTACTATTTGCCTTGCAATTGCCTGCTCAGGTCTTCACCCGTCTTTCTATTGGGCCATCTATCTTCTTCAAATTATTTGATAAAAGCTTACTGCATATTAAAGGATATATATTTTGTGAGTTGTAAATTGTATCAAGAGTGTAGAGGAATTGGACTCTTGGATACTGCTTGGGGGAGCAGAAATTAATACATTCTGAAGAACAACTTGAATACATGTTCCAAGATACTTGAGGTATATTCTCTAAAAAATATTTACCTTATAAAAGTTCAGAATTACAGAAACACATATGTATAAGGATTCACAGAAACACTGCGTATGAGAGTGAAAAATAGAAAAAATGCCCATTAACAGAAAATTGATCACATATACTACCTCATACTTTAGAAGGAAGTCATCATGCTCAGCCCACTTTTTTTTTTCTCATTAAGTTTATTGGTCAATTTTAGGTATACAATACAGTTATAGTCATCATTGGGATCTTGTACCTTTACATGATGCATCTTGGTTCTTATTTTTCCCCATTCCCCTGCCTCCCTTCAAACCCTCCACCCCTCCCTATTTACAAAGACTTTGTTTCCAGTTTTTCCTTTCCCTTCCCCTACCCCTCCCACTTCCCTTATCCCTTTAGACCTTTTCTTCCTACTTCACATTATCAATTATTCATTTTGATCTTTATTTACACCGTCAGTTTCTCACACCAGAGAAACTATGTGGTATTACACGTGTGTCCTATTTATTTCACTCTCAGCCCACTCTTAACAGTTATAGTGTTCTGCTCCACCTTCTTAAGGACAAAGTATCTACAATAAGTTATTTGAAAGTCTGCCTGGGGCATTTGTCTACTCTCCATTTATTTATTCAGTCATTTATATCAGTATGAGCTCATGGATATTTATATTGTACTTTGGATTATCATCCAGTCATATGTTATTTTGTTGCTCAAATTGTTCCTGCTTTGGCCAGTCACTGCAAGCTTTTTCAGGTGGCCCTGCATCCTCCGACACATCCCAGCACTGTTCTGGTTTGTCAGTGTGAGCGCCTCCTTTCCGGTGCCGCAACATGCTACAGGCTCATCTTGTACACTCATTGCTCCAGTCCTAAAATCAGCCACTTTTAAAAGGAACTTTGGTTCCATTTATTAGGTAAGAGTAGCAGAATCCAAGATGTGTACCCAATAGGTGCTAAATTGGAGTATCATTGTTTCTCAGCCAGCAGAACAAGGAGAGGGAGGAGGTGGGGGAAGGTGGCGAAGGAGAAGGAGAAGGAAGGGGCAGAGGGAGAGAGACAGAGAAAGAATTAATCTATGTATCTATAAATATTTCTACCTGTGACCATTAAGCTAAATATAACCTCATACTGATATCTCCAACTACAATCCATTATCATATGGATTGTTCTAACCTGGCTTCTCTTTAATTTCCCATTTCACCAGAGAGAAAGTAGCTCTCACCGTCTGCCATCCACATCCTCAACTGTTCGCCTCCATTATATGCATGTCAGAACTGTTACTCATCCCTCCTGGGAAACAGCTTTATCAGAATACAGTGCTTGTGTATAGCCCCTTCTATCTTCAGTCTTACAGGCTCTACATTTTTTCAAAATTCCTCAGGTCAGCAAGTTTTTCCTTCACCCTCCTCAGGGAAGTTGTTTTATACACCTACAACTCTATAATTGTATATACAGTATATTTAGCTTGCTTTTTTATATTATTAATTTTATTGGTACATTTTAGGTATACAATATAATGACATTCATCATTGGGAATTTGCACCTTTACATTCTCTTTGTTCTTGTTTTTTCCCCCTTCCCCTGCCCTCCCTTCAATCCCTCTAGTCCTCCCTATTTACAAAGACTTTGTGTCCATTTTTTCATTTTCTCATATTAACTCCATTCCCTTCTTTCCTTTCCCCTACCCCTCCCATTTTCCCTTCCCCTTTGCCCCTTTTCTTACTATTTTACATTATCTATTTTACTTTTTAGTCCTTATTTACACTTTCAGTTTCTCACACCAGAGAAACTATTTGGTATTTACACGTATGTGTCCTATTTATTTTTGAGAGGACCCTTCAGTCTCTAAAATGAATTTTTCTTAGTTTGCATACATATTCTAAGGTTTCCTCTCGGTTCTGTAAAGTTGTGAATGTGTATAAATACATTGTGTCTCCATGCATCGTTACATTATTTTTCAGAAGAGTTTCACTGTCTTAAAAAAAATCTCCAATACATCACACATTCAGCCTTTCTCCCCTCCCATAACCCCTGAAAACCACTTATCTGTAATCCCAACAGTTTTACCTTTTCCAGAATGTCAGAGGGATAGAAAAAGAATCTTCCATAGGTAGCCTTTCACATCAGCTTTTTTCACTTACTATATGCATTTAGGATTCAGCTATACAACTTGTTAACTCATTCTGTTTTTTAGATGAATACTATTACATTGCATGAATTTACCATAATTGGTTTATCCATTCACCTACTGAAAGACATCTCAATCCCTTCTATTTTTGATAACTACGAATAAAACTGCCATAAACATTTCTGTGTTAGCATGTGTGTATGTGTTCAAATTAACTGCGTAAATATTGGATCATGTCTGTTCCATTCTGCACTCCCACGAACAATCAAAGAATGAGAGTTTGTGTTGCTCTAAATCATTGCTAGCAATTGCTATTTTTAGCTTTTCTGTTTTAGACATTCTAATATGTGCGTAGTGTTTTTTACATTTTCCTGGTGATAAATGAGCATCTTTCATATGCTTATTTCCCATCAGTATATCTTCTCTGATGAGGTATCTGTTGAGATCTTTTGACCATTTTTTTATTGGACTGTTTTCTCAGTGA